GGGGGGGGGGAATGTGACAGACTTCATAACAACTTTGTACTTGAAAGTTGTGACAGCTCATTCGTTAAACATTTCTGAATGAATTTCAATCAATGATAAACCTTTTTTATTGGAAGTTAATTTAAGAGAGTTTAAGTAATATTCAATTTCAATCAAAAACAAATTAAATGATGGGGTTGAGTTTTGAAATTTACATTTATGTATATGGAATTTCCCTAATAAGATATAAAGATTGACAATGGCACATATTTTTTTTCTTTAGTTTCAAAATAAGTGATAATGTTCTTCCCTTCAATTTTGATTTCGTATGTTGTCTTGCACAGTATATAATTTTCAAGCTCTCTCCAAAATGTAGCACTATATGAACAGCCATAAAACAAATGAGTAACACTTTCAAGTTCAGTTTTACAAAAGGTACATTTTCTATCAATGTCACAGAATCTTGAAATGTACATGTTGGATGGATATATGTTATGTAATATTTTCAAATGTAATTCTCTAACTTTGTTTGTAATACAAAATCTAAAAGGAACAAGCCACGCTTTATCCCAGTTGATATTATCAAAAATAGCATTCCAAAAAAACTTCCCTCTTGGAGTTATTTTCTTCGCATTATACAAACATTCTCTAATATGTTTATTGGTGCATTTCTTGCTTAAGAAATCAATACCATTTATATAAAGAGTGTTAACGGATGCATGTGGTGTGTTCTGTTTTTTGTAGCTTTTCATCAACTCAGTCAGTCCGCTGGGAACGGACTTTACTACAGAGCTAAAATCTTTAAATTTGATAGGGAATGTTTTTTCTGTAATAAAGTCATTGTAACTAAGTAGCTGGCCTTCAGAGTCAAATAAGTCTTTTAAATAGATTATATTTTTATCAATCCAATTCTGCAAATATAGTGATTTGTTCCTCTTAGTAATACATTCGTTATTCCAGATAATAGATCTATGTGGAGAAAAGTTATGTGAATAACATAATTTCCAAGCCAACAATGCCTGTTGATAAAATGCAGACATTTTAACTGGTAACTTTGATATACTGTAACTACAAGACAATAGGAAGTGTAATCCTCCAACATTTCTAAAAATGTTATGTGGAATGAAATGCCATAATGATCCAGGAGATTTTAAGCATTCTTTTAGCCATTTCACCTTAAATGTATAGTCCAGGACCATGAAGTCCAGAAGGCCAAAACCACCTTTATCTTTAGGTCCACAAACAATGATTTTTTTAGATGATGGTGCTTATTCTTCCATACAAAGTTAACAAATAAGTTATTAACATTTTTACGTGGGTTATGTTCTCAGGTTCTCAGATAGATTATGACTGACGTCATGTACTTCCTGCAGGTTCACGTGACGCTCTCACGGTCACGTGGGTGGGCTTCATCCGTGTTGTTGTTGATCGGGTGCCGATCACATGGTAGGATTTTGCGCATGCGCGAGCTGTTAATGGCTGATGGAGAGAAGATGCCCACTGCCTCCATCCCCGTGTAGCGCAGGAGAGCTCCAGCCCGCTCCCGTTTGGCGCGCATTGCGCAGACTGCCGTTTTTCCGCACAGCTGCAGGCCGCAGTCCGACACGAGAGGCCCGATGTCCGTGGCTAACGCTAAACACACGGTTCTGAATCCGGTAAGCGGATTATTATTATCATCATCTCCATCAGCCCTCTGATGGCTGCATGCTCTGCTGTCTGCACGCATGCAGTTTCTAGCGCTGTCCGCACATCTGCCCACACACCTGTCCACATCTGTCTGTCTGACCACACTCGAATGAAGACACGAGGCTCTCTGAGGTTTCCATGTCCGCTCTGCAGGTGATCCCATACACTGGACCCATACCTGGTGGCCTGCACCCCGGGGAGATCATCATCGTCCAGGGCACCGTCCCCCCCGATGCTGACAGGTAAGATTGAAATCAAACAGCAGCAGTTTGTTCTGTTCATGCAGGAAACCTAACAAAGAAAAAATCTCGCCCTGCAAACATTTTCAGCTAAAAGAGAATGAAAGTTGACCCATGACGCTGTTTGCAGGTGTGTGTGATATTTACTGTATTACTGAACTCTTCCATACCTGCTTTGCTTGATTTAAAGTCCACAATAATCCTTCTGTATATTATTCTGGGACTAAGTGCAGCATCTCAGTCCATCCTGCCTGAAACAAGCCCCCTTTGTTCTGATTGGCTGCCCCTCACCTGTCAAGTTTGGTTTCTGGATTTTGCTGCAGACTCAAAAACTTCATTTTGTGTTGATTTGTAAAAATATTTATACTTAATAGTTTCACAAGTTGTATAATCAAAGGATATTTAAAGTGCTTATTATAAACTGTGGCACCTTTCACAATCATATAGATTATATTATTGAACCATAATTATTGATCTTTGTATAACTTTAATGTTCTAGCTGCTGCTGATTGAGATGATTTTTATATTGCAGGGTAGCTTGTATCTGTGCAGGTGTGCTGTCACATGTTACCGATGCTGCTCTGTCACAGAGGGGAAATGCTCGAGAACCTGCTGACGTGAAATATTCAGTAATTCATATTTTGGTGAAAGCAGCAGCGTTACATGTGAAACAAATGAGTGACGCTGAAGAGAGGAAGTGATGGTGAATAGTTTGTTTTTATTGAAATAGTGTTTCCACACACAGCGAGGCCTCCTGTGGTTTGTTGTTTCCAGATGTTACAGCTGTTTTATGTTCGCTGATAAAACGAAACTTAAATCTTTCTGCTGTGAGTTTGTAGCACAAACGTCTCTGACTGCAGGTGCTGTCCGTGGTTCTGATCAAAAGGTGAAACGATGTTGAGGTTACTGGTTATTGATGTGTGATATTATTTTGGTGTGTACAGTGTGCGTGGGGGGTTGTGTGTCTGTTTAGGTACGATGTAGCAGCAAGGACCCAAAAACTCTGGAGCCTCTCACAGAGCTGTTCACTTCTCACTCATGCTGGAGACCCAATCTGCTCAGTTCTGTTTCTAGATTAGAGATCAGCAGGTTTGAAGTCATCGTCTGCTGGCCAATCAGAAAAGTGCCGCTGTTCCTGGACCCTCACAGGGTCTGACGGTTTTTACCATCCAAAGTCTTTATGTCATGAGCATCAGTGAGAACTATAGAAACTTAATTCCTGATTTATTTACATTTCCTCTTTCCTTAAACAGCTCCGACACTGCAGCTCAATCAAATGTCTCACTCACATCTAAATGTTCCTTTAACCTCCTAGGACCTCCATCCACATATGTGGACATCACATGTTGGGTTATTTAGACCAAAATACTCAATTTTGCTATACGAGGGCCTGATATCCACTTACGAGGACATTATGCTGCCACTGTTCTATCAGAATTTTAAATGAATATCCTCATATGTGGCTCTGATTTTTCTTAAAAACAAAAATAAGGTAACAAAGAAAATCTGGTAATTCTTTGTTTTTACATTCATCGGGCCCCAATGAGCCCAAATATCAAAGAGAAATTAAAAATGCTGCTGTGGAAGAGTTCAGGTCTTAGGAGGTTAATGAAGATCCGTTCACTGCCAACTCTTTCCTTCCTGATTCAAAGAAACTTTATGAACACAGACTGACTGAGCAAAGCTCTGGAAGCTCACACACACTCAGTCTGTATTTAACTCGTCAGTTTTGTCTTCATCTGTACACTCAGCCACTTCACTGTCAGTAAACCCGATTGGTCAGATGCTGAAACCCCGCCTCCTGCTGGGTTTACTGGGATCGCTGAGAAGTTACCCTGGATGTGCTGATCTGTGCACATTCAGTTCCAGTCGCAGAGAACAGGTCCAGGATCAGTTTGGCTGATATCAATGAGGTTGTTATTCTCTTCGGTGATCATGCATCGCTCCCAGCTCTGCTACAGTCAGACCACTCAAAGTCTCTCTCTCTTTTCTTTAAATCACATCTGAGAGCTCAGCTGTTCTGCCAACTGGGTTCAGAATAAAAGGATGGAGTTACATCCACGTGGAGTTTAAGTTAAACGTTGATGCACGACATGATTTAATGGGCAGTTAAACTTTGTGCAGGTTTCAGATCGACCTGTCGAGTGGCTGCAGCACCAAACCACGCTCTGACGTCTCCCTCCACTTCAGCGCTCGCTTCAAGGGCTCGCCCTGTGTGGTGTGCAACTCCCTGCTGCAGGAGAGCTGGGGCAGAGAGGAGACGCTCCACCAGCTGCCCTACAAGCGCGGCGCCCCCTTCGAGACGATCATCCTGGTGCATGAAGACGCCTTCAAGGTCTGTGAGCCCGAGCTGGTGGAGATGGTAGGCCTGCATGTGGAACCGAAAGATAACGCTCCTTGTTCACCTGCAGGTGGCGGTAAATGGAGCGCACCTGCTGGAATACAAGCACAGAATTCCTCTGAACAGGGTTGACACCTTCTCCATCTGTGGGAAAGTCAGGGTGAACGCTATCGGCTACATCCCAAACTCAGTGAGTACATGTCTGTCTCATATTTCAGGTTTTTTGCCGCTCGTGTCTAAATGTGCGTTTTCTCCCTCTCAGGCAATATTCTCAGAATCAGGGGACCTGGTGAGTTTTTACCTTTAAACTGCTAAAACTCGATCACATGTCCAAACTCTTATCAGACGTTTAGGTTTCACTGCTGTTTCAGAGCCTCCCTTACAAAGGCAGCATCCTCAAAGGTCTGAGCCCAGGACAGCACATCACAATCAAAGGGCAGGTCAGCATGTATCCTCACAGGTAAACATTCAGACACGTATATGAATCTGTGTGCGAGTTATCCAGGACCGCCCATCTCACAGTGATGCACGCTCATACTTTGCTCCAGTTTTACCGTGAACCTCCGGAACAGCCGGACGGAGAACATCGCTCTCCACCTGAACCCCCGCATGAAGTCCAGCGTGTTCATCAGGAACTCGTACCTGGGTGAGTCCTGGGGTCAGGAGGAGCAGGAGCTGCCCTTCTTTCCATTCTCCTCAGGAGAATACTTTGAGGTAAGGACCACCTGCAGCTTCTCAACGCTTTTAAAGGCCTTCTGCTTCTTCAGAGACTCTGTTTTTAAAATTTCTTCCTCAGATCCTTCTCCTCTGTCAGCCACATCGGTTCAAGCTGGCGGTGAACGGCTCGCACCTGTTCGAGTTCAGACACCGGGTGCAGGACCTGAGCAGCATCGACCAGCTGGAGATCATGGGAGACCTGGAGCTCACCGACGTCAAGCTGTGGTGACTCGCACGGAAACCGGCGTCACCGATGCTCCTGGGTTCTGGTTATCGTGCTAAATTAGCTTAGCCACAGCAACCTGGGCGTGGATGGTTCTAAGCTAGTCTGGCACGGAGGCCGTGGACGGGTCTTAAATGAACGGTTTCCAGCTGAGACTGGATGATGCATGACGGTAAGCCGTGCTGCAGCTGACTGTGGTGTCCCTGGACCGTTTCTTTTCTTGTCTCTAGTGCATCTCTGCTGTGATACAGCCTGTGTAACTAAACCCGGAAATAAATGTGAATGTTAAGAAGCTCTCGACACCTGGCTCTGCTTACGTGTTAATTATAAGACTGTCAGCAAAACAGTGAAATAAATACAAGGACTGCATTCTTCTGTACAGCTCACATAGAAAACAAAATCCAGGAAGTGCAGTTTTTACTGCATCATTGAAGTCACAGCTTTCATTTGCATTAGTTTTTAATCACTTTAAAATAATATTTGAAATACATGAAAATGT